TCAAGATTGGGATTATAATGGCGCTTGCGGGCAGCTGAGTCAGACGTGCCCCTACGGGTCGGCCTGCAGACCTTTTGGCACGGAGACGGCTATGGGCCTTTGAACCCCTCCCACCCTGTCACTGTAGTTGTGCCTGCTCCATTGAGCATCAAATAGGCAAAGTGATACCCATCAATCGCAGCCATCATAAGTTTGCCATTGGGCAACTACCATCAAAATGGGTGAAGTAGTTCTGTAGTAATGCTGATTGAAGTTATGCACATAATAAAACATTTCAGACTAATTTTAACTCGGAAAATTCCTTCGTATGGCGAAAACAGGTAATTTTATGGCACATTAACGGGCCATTTCCTTACCATAAAGGTAAAGAGAAGGAGGACTGAAAGTGATTATACGAGTGGATTAAAAAATGACGGAAGACATGCATCGTTGCTTACCCCAAACTTCTCGATTTGAGGGATTAAAGTTAGACATCAAAAGAGCAATGTGTAGCGCAAGAAGAGATTTAACCATTGCATAGAAATGACCTCAATTTCACAGGGAAGGAAGCTAAAGATACACATCGCTATAGTCCTTTGAGTTGTAAAGGTACTTATTGACTCTACCTCTGCACTTCTGCAGGACCGCGTAGACTTTGGATATCCTAGCAGCCACCGTCCATTATCTCAGTCTCCATTCGCGTCAGAACTGCATATTCCAATCTGATTTTATGCCTTACTTTGCCTTTAAAGAAGTCTTAGGGTGTTCTCAAGGTGACAGTTATCCGATTTCCCATTCCCGGCAGGGGCGAAGAGTACATGCCGGGACAAGAAAACATCTCACAGGCCTCAAGCGAAGATTCGAGAATGCTTTCTACCACAGGCAACTACCCCATTTCTCTGCTCTCTGAGAATGGTATTTGCAATCTAAGCAACATTGGTTTTAACCGTCTGAAAGAATTCGTTATGAAGCTGTCTACCACGCCTGCAGGATGATGTCAATGAAGTGAAATGCAATACCTCATCCACCTCTCTACTAGGTAATTACAACCCAAGTAGATGCAGTTGGAGGCCATTAGGCGAAAGCAGTATCATGACGGAACAGATGTGAAATTATGTCTTCGAAATTCTCCAAACTCCTTCCACCACTGATATGCGTTTTAAGGCGAATTTCTTCATAACTGATGAAGGACATTTGTGATATCCCCTTACAGGGAGAAAATCAAGATCCACTAAACTGGTTAAGCGGTTTACGTGACTTTTTAGTCAGACAGTTTGAAGTGCGATTAAATGTGATGACTGGCGCAGTTGGTTGGTGAGTGTTTTCTCTGCAGCACTGATTGCGCTGCAATGAGCCATGCTGGAGGCTGATTGCGAAAAACGTCGGTCACAGCTTTCAAGAGGGAGAGGGACTGAGTAGGGCTTTGACTGAATGTTTAATTCTTCTTTTCAGTAACATACACTTAAAGCTCCCCAATATTGCTTTTGCTTGTCAGCATGGCTACGTCCTAGTCCTAAACTTACTGTGAATGAGGCGCTATATATTCCACGCACGCATTATTTCTTCTCTCGCTTCAGGAATATCCTGGAGCGGTTCAAATAAAGTCTTCTTTGGAGAGATGATTGGATTAGAGTATGGGGAGGACCGTTTGGAGACGCCATTAAGTCAATGGGCGAAATTGACAGATCAGTGTTGGAGGTTTGTAGATTGAAAACGACTTGCTGCGTGGTATTCATGATTTTATCAGATGGCACCTTTGTGCATGGGATTTTATATTGCTGATATTTTCCCTTTTAAGTTTCTTAAAAGAAATCCGAACACTTTAAAGGAAACCCTTGTGATTGCCTTGAAACATTTATGATGTCCAAAGAAATTCAAAAAGCAACCCATCTATCACAAAGGAGGAGGAGGAGGGGGTCGAGAAGGGAGTAAATGAGGGGAAGGAGAAGTTCTTTCCTTGAGCTCAAATTCTCGTTAAATGGACTAAAGCATTCACATGCTCTGTTTTATCTGCAGGCTGTGTCAAAAATCACTCAACCAAATTAGCTCACCATTTATTCACGATCGACACACAAACACGCAAAAATGGGGGAACGAATTCGCAAAACTTGACGGAGAAGGGAGACAGGGTGGGAATGGGAGGAGGCAAGTCTAATCAGGCAATGCACGCGAGATTCCAAGCATGAGAGGCGAGTTGCTTCATGACAAATTCCGCCCTTTTAGTACCCATCATTCACCGACCTGCTCGTTTAACCCTGCATTTCTTTGATTTGCCCTGTGCATCCTCTTCCACAAAGGTCCAGAGTCCAATGGTAAAAATTAAGGTAAATGAGGCAAGGAAAATATGCATTTCTGGTCAAAAGCCACAGTCGGTGCGATCGTTTATCTTCACATTGGTGATTCGATCATGCGAACATCCGGTTGAGGAGTTTAATGGGCAGCCTAACCTTTCTCGCCCCAAAATAGTCTGTGATCTTCGTACGCATTCACGGACCAAGAGTGCTGTACTAACTGTACTAACTGAGCTGCTTTGCTGACAGAAAATGAGGCTTGTGCAAACCATGTGCCCAATATCACAATGGGGATTTTGTTATAATAATTGATGGAACATAGAGAAGGTTTACCATAGGGCAAATGCAATCATTTTACAAATGTTGGCAAAAAACACTTTTCCGTACATCTGCCTGATTTCATTTATCATTGTTTGTGTGGTAATCTTGTTTGTCCTCCACTTTCACTGTTATGCCAGGCAGAAGGCGGAAAAAACTACATTACTTTGACAGATTGCATTTCATTTAGCTTAGAATCGGAACATCCACAATAATGGAGCATTTTGTAATAAGGAACGAGGAATCGCTTCGAATCAAACTGCTAATTTTGGTTTTTTCGGAAAGATTGGTCACCTCCTCCTTCCCACTGCAATAGCTGGGACCGGATAAACCTTTCTCCGTTCCTTCCCACTAAAGATAATTTTTCGACTGTGTTGACATTTCAAGCATCACAAATGGCATCGAAGAGCGTAATGTAGACTAACTTGAGACCTTTGCGCCGAAGCCAGACGAGGGCTGCGTTATGCCAGAGCATAGGCCGAATGAAAGTTTCTCCACTTTGATGGGGCTTAATTTTCACCCTACTTCTTACGTTGCTTCCCCCATCGTTGCACAACCAGGCAGAAGAAGTTCTTTAGTGCTTTTGTCGAGTTTGGACTCTTCTAAACAAGCGCCATTAATGACTCTCTTGAGACAGAGAGGCACGCCTCATAATTTATGCTAGGAAAACGGAAATTTCTTGCCATGAGGAGCATGCGCACCTGTTGATAACTTTTTGAATTTGATTGGTTTTGCAGCGAATGCTAGACGTGGGGATGGTCAAAATGTGCCAAAAGTATGTCTTCCATTGCAGTCCATTAATAAACTGTGCTATTGTCTTTCGTATTTTGCAATATTTCCTTGACTTATTCTCTATGCAGCACAGCCAGGAAAGCCATTTCTGAATTAGTGGGTCTCCAACTCTTATTAAAACCGTAATAAATCATTAATTTGTTTAGCATCTGGTTTTGGTGTCCAAAGCACTAAAGCCTCTATGGTTTTGGCTTCAGTGGGTGGCATGACTTCCGGATCATAACACTAGCCTCATTCAGCTCTTCTCTGCTTTTGCAATGCTTATTTAATCGCTTTCAGGAGAGCCTCAGAGCTCCACACCGGTGGTGATGGAGAACAAACTCAGTCTCAAACAGTGTCTGCCTCGACTTCCATTACTGTTCTGCAATGTGACGGAAGAAGCGTATGTGCTCCAGATGGGAAAATCAGGAGCAAGCCTTGGAGGAAGAATTTGAAAATACCATTCCTCTTACCCATCCATTTCGACCCTGTAGTCGGCCGGAATGTTATTAATAAATGAAGTGACACAAGCCACAGTCATGAAAAGTTCAATGAGTAGCTACGAATGGAGGCGTCGATAGAGTCTTTCCATTGCAGAAAGGTGAAAATCTGATTATTTATAGGAGCGACACTCTCTAACTCTTCCTTTTACTTTCGGTGGTAGTAAAAACTCTACAACTATACTTCAACTAGATGGGATGGTCTCCTTGTCATACCGGTTAGCAATAAGCTCTGTGTCTTGGTAATATGCTTTTATTCCGCTTTGGGATAGACTCAAACATCGCAAAAGTAGTACTTAATAAACCTTTATCTGTAGGCAACTTTATCCGGTTGTACTACCACAATTTTAGGACTGTCTTTAATAATGTTTAGAGGTAGGGAAGAATAGTTTTGATCCAAATTTGTTTCTTAAAGTGTCTTACCTGATCCCAACCTATCCATTGTCCATGATCGCCTACCTTGCTAATTTTATCCAAAACTCTTTCTTCCATGATTTGATTCGTATGAGATAGCATTGCCTTTTCCACCTCATTACACATTATTATCGTCTATAGTAAGCCACTTTCAAAGGTGTCAGTGTATCTTGGTTCAGAAATTTTCCTTTAATCTTATCGCGACTAATGTAAACTAAATGCGTTGTGGAGGTCCGCATTGAAAAATTAGGACTTGATACTGTAAAATTTCAAGTAGGTGTCCAGCGATTGGGGGAGTTTCAACCTACATCACTTATTCAATGCAAGGAAGATTTCCCTATTTACCTCACTTTGTGGTGCTACCAATAAATTATCCCTTTCCTGCTTTCATTTATACCCATGAGCTGCGATGAACCGGAGGCAAGACAGTTTATGTTCGGCCGAATGCACACCTCATCCATTTGTATGTGATGTTGCAGGAAGCGTAATTTCTAAGCGACTTCGTCTTGCAAATATTAATTATAATCGACTTTATTTTTGTTATTTAATGTCACATTTTAAGTAATCGAATTCAATGGATTTAAATATTTCTCACAATTAGTGTCTCAGAGCATGATGCTCACAGAGGCCATTGAAGACACACAATCATATGATCACTGATTAAAAGAGATAATTAGGGGCAATCAGTGGGTTTCCAAATGTGTCGTCCACTGTTACACTTCAAGTCTTAGTACTCGTGGTGAATGTCGGCTGCCATAAAGACTCTTCCCCCACCACGACGACGAACGCCCGATCCACCTTGACGGTTCGCCTGAACCGTTTTGCTCGCGTACTCCTCATAAGCCGCCGCGAAGCCTCTCCTCTGAGGAGAGTTTACTCCATCCATCCGTGAGTATCGGACCACTCCATTAGGAGCGGTGCGAATGCTTCCGCCAACGTCCCTCACGGAGGCTGCAAATATGTCGCTTTTCTTGGAGTCTCGAGTCCAAATCTCCGGAACACTTGTCCTACATGTGGTGGACTCGCATTGAATGCCCTTGTCCTCCGTGTGCTTTTGCAGTACTTTTCTGATCGACCGGTAGTCCTGTGGTGCTCCCCCACCACCAGTATAGCTCAACTTGCCAATCTGGTCCAGCGCTGTGGCAGATTTTGTTAGCTCACTACGGTAGAGACGTGGCGAAGAGAAGAGTTCCGCATGCCGTGATCTCGGTGGAGGGGGTGAACCGAAAAAACGTCGTTGAGGTGGGTCATAATACGTACCCTTCTCTGCAAATTGCACTTTGCCTATGTCCACTGTAAGAGGGTTGTTCTTCACCATATAACTTTCCACTCTTAAGGTCGACATTTGCGTCGCCACTCTGTTCATTGCTGCGCGTTTTTCAGCAATAGTGTTCGCATCCACAAGGCGCTGATATTCACCTTTGGGTCTATCTTGATAGGCCATTTGGCAGATCGAGAGACTTGCTTTGGTGCAATTTTCCCCACTCGTTGATGGCGATCTTGTGCGATCATTAATGGTGATTGAGCTCACTCTTGTCGGCGAAGGTGATGGTTCCTTTGGTATAACTACTTTATGGTTCTTCTCCAAGTCAATCGCCATGATGCATGCAAATACTGTCATTAGCATGCGGGGCTTGACCTCGGTTATGTCTTCCGGGACTGCATATATCTTGGCTCCAATACGCCGTGCCACTGTAATTGCATACTGTGCATTTGAAAGGCGTTCCTAAATGAATAAAACCGAAAAAAATCATGCTGTTAAACAGCTTTGGCATTTGCAACGGCTTCTACTTGGTAAATACACAGTCTGGAAATTTATAATACAGTGGAAAACATCACATAAAGTTCATTATGGATGGGACGATATGTAGAACTTAAGGCAAAAACATCTATCACATTTGCCTTTTACGTAGCTCCCAAAAAGCAGAATTACTAAACGATGAAATTCACATTGCCTAATTGGTATTAAAGCACGAGAATGGGAAGCGGTTCTTAAGACTCCAAAACCAATTAGCATTTGTGGTTGGGGGTACAAGCAGGAGCATGGAGGAAGCAAGCAATATCCATGCATTAGGTTAATTGAGTGGTGCGGCCTGAGTAGGTAGGTTGGTAGGTGAGTGGATGGAAGTCACAGTCAATTACGTTTCCAATCTGAAGTCAGAAACCTCCTAAGCGATGCTCTTGTACAAAAAGTCTCCAATTTTCGCCTCCGCTTTAAGTATGCTGGCACTTCAAAATGCCAAAATTGACTTAAAGGCTTTCTATGTCTATGGGAACATGGGACCGTTAATGGTGGGTTTATTAGTGATTACTGGCTTTGCTGGCTTAAGTGTGTAAAGTTCCGTTGATGTAAGCTTGGTTTATTTGCAGTTTTGCTCTCTTAAACGTTGCGTGATATATGTAACATTTATCGTCTCAATGTTCATCCAGAATTAGTGAAAACTGTCAGAATTACCTTGGAAAACTGTAGCACAAATGAATCCGCACGTTAATTAGAGCGTTTAAGCTTTCACATATGTTTCAAACTACATCAAGAGTGGATTATCATTCGAAGTGGCCTGAGCGTGGATGAACGTAGCAATTTGCACCGCTCTCGCACCAATAATTTGGCTGTTTTTTTCCATAAAAACTGAATGCATCCCTCATACGACCGCTTCGCCGATAGAACGGTGCTTATAAAGAAGGTTTATCGCGAAAACGTGCCTCGGTCTTCCTTCTTCACTAATTCTACCCCTTGACACAGTCGGAGCTTCTTCTTTTCTCAATTAGCTGAGTCATTTATGCACATCTTTGGGAGTTTTGTGGGAGTTATAATATTGCATTATCTTGCTTAACTTAAAATCTCAACTGCAAATATTTCACTTCGCAATGGAGACACTTCACGCTCCCATCTTAATCTCATAAATACCTGATTTTACTTACTCTAATAGAATTTTACAGGAGGCAAACATTTTTACTAGATAATTGTTCCTGTGCTAGTCTATTCACATTAATTTGCTACTTAATGCATCAACAAAATCCTTGAATGAACTGTTAATAATTCCACTCCAACTGTAAGTTGATTATTCGTAACTAGAAACTGACTTAAATTGTTTACTTTCGCCAACGATAGGCTGCAACGTAACAGTCAAATTTCTCCTGGACTAACTGGCTCGGTAAGTCAGCGTAAATAATGTTGAAGTGACTCGGTTTACTTAATTATGTATGATGCCTTTTTTATCATGTTATTACTTCTCAATTAGTAATCACTCGTCCTTGGCAAGATCATTACTCATTAAAGGCAATAGTTAAGTAGCTTTGTGAGTAACTTTGTGATTAACTTTAATAAGCTAGTCCGAACATTACAAGAGTTTGACTTCGGCCCGCCATCATTTGGTCTATGCTACAGCTCGTCTATCGAAAACGAAGCAGCTCAGCGAGAAGGAAATCGGAGCTTGTGTGTGCTTTTTAATTAGTGCGTGTAGGGGCAGGATTCCTGTTTTCATCAAGTATTTATGAGGCGGGTGATGGGTTAATCGCACTGCGTAATTGTATGCTCAGTGTTGAGCAGCGGCAATGTACTTACTCGAATTTATCTGAACTAGATGAAATTGAAAAATGCCTATTCCTCCTGCTTTAATCGTTGATAATGAAAAATGGCTGCCTCGCTTTTTTGCATTAATCCGGAATACAAAGCAGGGATAATCACATTTGCACTAATTCAATTTGCTTCCTCTTGCACGAGACCTCTAAGACAGCTGAGGAGTGGAGGTTTAAATGGACTATATTTATTCCAACCGGTAAAACTCTTTGAGGTCATAACAGATTTTCCTGTCCACCTTAAATCCCCGCATTTCCTAATTTACTTTGTTAGCCTTTAATCAATTGGAAATTATTAAAAGCGAGTTATACTTTTATCAACAAGTAAAAGAGACAATGCTTTTATTTGACGGGTTATTAACAATTGCATTAATGTCCTACGATTATGCTGCAATAATTCAATTATAACCCCAAATAAATATCTTCGGAAGGAGGCCTATTTTATCAATTTGTATGACGTTGTAACCCCTCCAGAATGGAATGGATAATAAGTTTTAAGGAAGCGAAAAGCGCTATTCAGAACCAATGATGATGAAAACGCTGCAAATTGCACGCATTTGATGTTTGCAGCCCATGTGAACAACATAGAGCATCAAAGATGAAATGGGTTGCATCGACCACGAGGTACAACAGACCCGCCAGACTGTTTTGACAGCAAGGCCTATCCCACGTAGTCAATCGGGGTTAGAGGTTTTTAGGTCGCCATAATCTATTCGTACTGTTCATCCTTGTTGTGTTTCAATTAACTGATTAAATTTTGCTGCCGCGATATGGGTACTGCACTCGTTTACTCAAAGTGACAAACGCCCGTCGCCTCTCGAAGCCAAAAGGGAGGATTCAATCGACCACATGGACGCAACTGTCAGTCATGCTAGGTAGGGCATAGCCTGTGCTTGGTTTTGCATGCAGATAAAACATTGCCCAAAAGATATCAGCTTACTTTTATCCCTGACAAAACATATTTGATACTTCAATTAAAGTCAGCAAAATTGTCGGCACTTTTGACAACGAACTTGGTGTTTAGTTCCCACTCATAATAAGATAAAATATCAAACGCATTTAGTTAGTACTATGTCCCTGTTCCTTTTACAGTCCAATGTGTCATTCACCGTGCGACGGGAAGTAGACAACAGAGCGAAAAAAACAATGTAACTCGAGCAATAATTCTGATAACCACTAAATTCTCTCCTCTCCCGTACGAAACCTTTGTTTTGTCTGCATAGCTTCAAAACATATGTGACAGTAGATGGAGCTAATTGGAGATCTTTCGTTGTTTACGGCCTGAAGTTTAGCTTATTTGACTTGTTTTTGTCATTTATTAGTGGCATATCAACTGCAAGTTTCATTCTTATTTGTTGGTTTCGCCTCACACCCTAGAAGCCTATATACCATTAATCTACTTGAATGACTGCTAAAACTGAAATTAACACGGTTAACGTACTTCAGGGGTAAGCCCTTTGTTGACCACGCTATAGTCCACACATCCTGGACTGATGGCCTCCAGCAGGTCAATGATCAGAAGACCATTTCTCAACTCAAAGTCCGAGAATCCGGCACCAACGGAGATGCGACGTGGTTTGTTGGCGCCAGCCAAACGTCCATTAACCCAGTCAATAATGCCTCGCTCAGAGATGATTGGCTTGTTGGAGACGGGTGAACGGGCCCTGTGATAACCCATCGTGTCCGTACCCTCTGTGCCCTCTGCCAACTTCACCAACAAGGAGAGTGTGTAGGCGCGCATCAGCTGCCATAGCAAAGCCAGAATCGGCGTCATTTTTCTATCCTTGAGATCAGATCCGGCAACTCCAACTAGACTGAAGCCCGCACGCTGACCCAATTCAACCATGTAATTACAGTTCTCTGAAGGGGGAAACAAGGGAACACCGACTTACACTTTTGTCGCTTGACACATTGTCAGAGGATAATTATATCTGTTGTTATTACTTGAGTTTAAAAGACATTTTTGATCTCTGACTGCCATTGCAGTGGCATGGAGAGCCGTTCATTTCATCTGTGCTTTTAAAGCTTTATCTACAGCATGCTCAATTTTTACCATCCATTCCGACGTGATACGAGCTCTACACGACAAAGACACCTTATCAGCGAATCCTCCGATCAAGTTTAAAATGCTTGTGGAAGTATCATCACTAAATAAGTTTTATGGCTCTGTACGATGTCTGAAAACTGTTGAGAGCTACGAACGAACATATGTCACAGTGAAATTGTGTCAAAAGTTATTACGACTAAGTAGTGGAATGGCAGTATCCATTACTGCTGCAACAATTTCCATCAAATGTTTCTGTCCAAGATGAAAGAAGTTTGTTTGTGTGTGAAATTGAGAACCGGTTGGACTTTATGCCAATAAACATGTTCGTTTTGGTGATGGATCTATTTTGCTTCTTTAAGTTTCATAAATTTTGTCACGCCTAAAAAGTGTCTGAATTGCAGTTTGCAAAGGAAAAGAGCCACGACAAGTTTTTTTTGCTTGCTTCAGTATGGGTCGGACCATTAGTGGTCTTTGTTGTCTTTTTTTACTAATTTGAGGGTCTTTGTTTCTGTAAAAGTTCCAAAAATGTAATGTCGATAAGGTTAGAAGCGAAACGATTAACAAAATTGATTATGCAATCGCCTTCTCTCCCTCCCTCTCCTCCGATTGCGGACACAAGGGCATCATGTGTCGCTTGCTTTTAATCTCCTCCCCATTCCCACCCCCACCCACCGATTCCCGCTAGCAGACGGAGGCGGTGAGACACTTTTAAGACATAAATAGCCTCTATTTGTTTTGGCTCACGGTGGCGTGGCCACGAGCCTGAACGCACCCTCACATGCACGCACGCACATACGCAAACAAGCAAGTGGGTACACGCTCCTCCCCTATCCCTCGGCCATCCCTAAACCACCCTCCCCTTCAAGTATCAGTAGCAGCAGCAGCAGCAGCAGCAGCATCAGCCATGACTGGAACGCGAACCGCCCTACTTTGATGTTACAGCGCTGGAGCGTGCATATTGTTGTCTTTCCAGTTGTGCTCCTCCTCCTCCGCCTCCTCCTCCTCCTGCTCGCTGCTGCCGATAGTGCCACGTGTGATATGACCACCGCTCCCGACCAGATTGAAGAAGGGAGAGAGGGTAGAGTGTTACAATTTCAGTCTTTATAGAAATGCCGCAGAGGATGGAAGCCACTGAGCGTACAATCGTCTACACATTCCCGATCACCTGTCACAGACACTTCACGTTATAAGGACTTAGGTAAAAAGAATTAGTTAAGTTTATCTACTCGCCACAGATAAAGTTTCCAGACAAGGTGTTCTTTCTGAAGTAGATATCGTAGCACCTCAAGCAAAGCTCCGATTTTGTTCAATAGGACTAAACAAGTTTCAGCTTGCAAGCTCCTCGATTCCTCCAGTAGGGCGAGGACAAATAAACTTATCGATATACCAACTTACCAAGGTGCTGGAAGTTGGCTTTGGCTGGAGCCGTCGAAAAAAATCGATTAACTCGCAACCAATCGACGCTTCCGGATTTGATAAGGTCATAGAGCTTAAAAATTACAGTTCCCGAGAATAGATCGCCGTAGAGGCTGTGAACCACCGTCCGTAGACCCATTGAGTTAATCCAGTTGCGATAGGCTGCAAAGAGACGACAATTTGAGGTAAGCCTACAGAAAACATTGCATCTCGCGGCAGTCCTAATGCACCAGCAATGCAATCTGTTAAAACTGGTTTTCGACCTTCACATCGACGCCGCAAACGATAGTAATAAAGGGAAAGGTGCGAAGCACCAAAGAGTTCCATTCAAAGCTAGTTTTCGGTCGGCTTGTGTGATTAGCCAGAATTTTGACGACACTCCATCACTCCACCACGTGTTCCGAGTTGGCTGGGTACCCATTCGAAAGGATGTTTATGGATAAAAGGGTTGGATCACTCCCTCATTGAGTTGTTCAATTTAGATTTAGACAGCTCTCTCAAGGTACTTAAGAATAAGCATGCTTTTGGCGAGATAAAATTGGAGAATTTATCGACGTCCCTCAACACGTAAACTTTCCATCATTTTGAGTTAAAATTATAAGCTCCAGTGGTAAATGCATTGCAGTAGTTTTAGGCAAATAATATACCTTCCGTGTTTCCGAGTTAGGCGGGGCCCTCCGGCGGAATTAGCCATCTAGAAGTTTTGGTACTCATTCATCCATACCTCCATTCATTCATTCATTCATTCTCCTTCTATCTCGTGCATCACAAAAAAGTAGACAAAGAAGCCACATTCAATGAAAAAAGCCACTTGCCTATTCACTGCTGCGGATGCCCATCCCCACTACTACATCCTACTTGCCATCCGAATAAAGGTGTATCTTGCATAAATCTTTGCGGAGTTATGAGAATGAGAGAAAGAGGCTATAGTCAACGATTTTATAATTAAACTTGAGGAACGGAATGTATTTGTATCCCTCGATTTAATTCATGTTTAGCAATTTTGTTAAAATACCGCTCTGATGGTAACTATGACGTCTTTTGATGGTTGAAGGTAACGCTTGTTTTGTACCAGCATTGAACGAAGATGGAATAGTTATTTGTCTTGCCTCAGGAAATTGCCTGTGCCAAAGCTGAAGCATTTGTAGTGCCTGGAGCCGTTATTGAAGGTGATGGAAACCATAATGCTAGAGTGGAATGCTTATTTGTGACGTAGGGAGGACGTCAGAGGTTACTGGCATTGTTCGCAAACTTTGTCACATCAAAACGAAGAGCAAAATAAGCACCACAGCATTATGCATTCATATATTAGACCAGGATTGCTTTTTTCAGTTGCAACTTAAACCAAGTCGATCTCAATGGTTTGATATTTTAAATTTGAGTATTCGAAGGGCTAAGTCAGTAGCAAAAGTTGGGCCTATTCTGGCACCCCCATGGTGGCAGTACATATCTTTTTAAACGCACCGAAATTAGCTCTCAATGGGGACTCTGTGCCCATAAAATTTGAATTGCATCAGGGCAACTTCTAATGTGTGAACTTACGGGACACAAGTAGTTGGTCCTCTTCTATGCAATGTTTTTTTCCCTTTTTTCCTCATTTATTTCTGCTATTTTTGCCACCACCCGTTTTGGCATAATTGCCATCACTATTGCTGCCCTGTGTGATTGGCTTGGTCACTTGGTCCTTATGGAAGCTCTCCAGCACCAATAACTACACCAACTACGCTCGACATTGCCTCTTCGTTAAATTGTTTGTGGTTCTCTTCTGTGATCCAGCCTCATTGTAAGTTTAACCCAGCTAAAATGATATGTTAATCTGAGTCCTGAAACCTCCCAATCATTAACAAACTCGGCACTGCAAAGACCTGTCACAAACCTGGATTCACTTTAGAGACTGCAAATTAACTTTGCAACATAAAAACCAACTTGACAGAGGTAGGACCAGACACGGAATGTTGGTTCGGTATCAGTCAGTTGTTTAGATGGATCTGGATTCCATGTAGCCGCTCGTCTTGCCCTCATAAGAGCAGAAGTGTGCGAAAAAATGTTTTATTGCCTCACCTCGGCCTTGCGTTCATCAGATAACGACTTGTGCGTGTGTGTGAGGCGAGCTTGCAAACGAATGGGAAAACAAGCCAACGAGCCAAAGGACGGGTGAGGCAACGAATCTGATTCTGATACCGATAAGGCAGGCGAACGAATGCCGCGCGGGCAATGCACAAATCGCATTGCAAGGGTGAGGAAATCAAACTCTCTCGGGGTCAATGTTAAAGCACAGAACTGCCGCCTCTTCCAAGGGGTTGAGTTGACTTAAAGGACTCAACCAGGCATTTATTTGATGAAATAAGTCTTTGAAAACAACTCAAATCGTAAAATGCTTAGTTTTGTATAAAGGATAGCGGAACGCGCTATACAACTTCTGAGGAAATGGAACTCAACAGGGACCCAACGACAAGGACTAATTCCTAACTTTTATGGCGACACGACTCCTTGCGTTCGGCTTTATTCAAGGTGACTCTCCCATAAATAAAATTCACTCTGCTTAATAACCAAATAAACAATGAATGACGCTTCAGCGTAAAAACTAATTTCTTTTGCCTCATCTTCCCCCTTCCTTCTTTGCCATTTAATCTATGTCGAAATTGGAGAGTCACCTTTTAGGACGAAATCCAGATAATGAATTGCCTCCTGCCCTACTTTGACAGCATAATTTCATTTAAGTGAGAGCTCTTTTCTCCATGTCCTGTGGTCTCCGAAAGTGGAAAATGAGGCGTCAAACTACCTGTAAGGTGATTTTATGTGGGTCCTACTTGAGGGCCAATAATTTCCTTACATTAACAAACGTTTTAGTTACACGTACAATGACAGCCACAGTTGCATCATAGACAGCAGACACTTGCGACAGGGTTGTGTAATGCCTGCAGGTAAGTACGGAATGGATGTTGTTTGATTTAGGGGTTGTACAAGGAAACGGATGGCAATACACTTACAGCATGTATTGCTGGAGACCGTGAGTCACATCTGTGGATCTGATTCCACTTTTGGCGTTAGCGTCGCAGACTAAGGAAATGCCAGCGGTTAAAATGGCTGACCACTTTTGCAAAAAATATTGCACTTATTTGACAGGATTGAATTGGAGTATATGGCTTGCACGCAACCTGGAATCGAGGACTCCATAAAACGCCCCAAACATCGAAGCGTAAATAATTAATGCGACACCTGCTTTCGTGTAGATCGAAGCAGTAGCAAACTCGTGAATTTTATGGATGCCTTTTTGAGTAATCTAAGACACCAAAATCTTTATTTTCACAGAAAAGATTTCTTCAATGTACTATTATTTAACATTTCACCTGCTTGTTTAACTCTTTGTCTTGGTTTGACCACACGTAAAGGCTCCAAAATTGTGAGTTTGCCCAGCTCTGTCCAGCCCTTCTCCTCTTCAACAATGCATTTTAACCACAACACTTTGCTTACTTTCATCTTCGGAAAAGTGCCGGAGTGTTGCACATGTTTGGCTTTCATTCACTCCTACAGATTTGTATGTTGTCATTAATCAACCCCAAATGCGCGATCACTGTTCGCTTGTCACCCAGTCTCTTCCTAATGTTTCGCTTAATGTCGGAGCATTCACAATCACTGCAGATGGCAACACTAGCCATGCCCTATTGCCAATTTTTCCACTTCATTTATGCTTTCATTGTCTTTCAATGTATTGTACCACAGTAGTGATAAAAGGAATTTCCAACTCCTCTGCTTAACTTCTCGATTGCGAACCTTTCCAGCAAAGCTTTGCTCAAGTAAAAAATGTCGATTTGCACTACTTTTTTGGTAAATATTTGCCTTCCCTTATGCTACCAAGCTAGGCTCCGATTCGAGCGACTTATGCTTCTGACCTTGGAATGTCTTAGTACAGTCGCAGTCCAATTTGTCTCACCTCTTAGGTCCAGATACTTGAATATAACTTTGGCACAACTGGACGAATTCACTTGACTGAAATTCAAGACAATCAATGGGTCAGTTAGCCATTAGATAAAGAGGTCATCGTACCGAATTGATGACATCCACAACAAAGTGGCTAGTGATTCAAATGGACTGATGGTACGTATTTTAGTTTTGAGTCCAGCATCACATCCATTGGTTAATGTCGAAGTAGAAGCGACCAATTTGTACGGCAAAGAGAAGCAGCAGTAAATAAACCACTCCAGGCCAGCAATAACCTTCCAACCTACTATAAACTTTGCGTACTTTATAGGAGGTTCAGAGGTAGTTGAAAGTCTAAAAGTTTTGCTATTAGTCAATACAACTGTTCTAACGTTTGCCTTAACCTTCATCTCACCAGCTATGCAAACAGCCAAAAGAACAGTGCTGTTTAGAAAATCAGGACAATTTTTCAAACTAAGAGCCATTACCGCACATGAATGTAACACGTGGAAAAGGAGGTGGACGGACGGATGAGGAGGTTGTGTGGAAGGGGAGAGAGTGCACGGGATCACTCGGCAAGGTACTTGCCGGTGAGTTTGGTGTTCTTGCCCTCTAAGAGGTCATAGTTAGCTCGAAACCAGGCGCGGGGCACACGAGTCGCCTGGGGAGCCTGCGGCAGGAGGGCCTTTAGCCACGCCAACAGGCACTCCCATCGACTTGGGAGAGGCTGGGGCTCTTCTTCGCCTACGAAACCAGACAAAAGGGCACCGTGTTACTCTCTCACACACCTCCTCTCCCTCCGCATTCCTCTCTTCCTGCAATCTCATTGATACACTCACCATTAATAATTGGGGAAACGAGGAGTGCCAATCCTACTATCATGACTTTGGGACCAACCCCTTAACTGCTAGGCAAAATGATTCGAAAAATTGGTAAAAAAAGGGAACGTCACAAAGTTTACAAGACTCGACCACGCAAATTTGGGGTGTGCTTAATTAAGCATAAAATTCAAACTGTTTTTAGTTACTTAACTAAATGAGATACAATAAGTGTATTAAAAAAAACGACTTTTGGTTCTCCGTCACAGAGGTAGCCGAAAGGTTCAAAAAGTCCTGTCTCTCTCAGTCAGACGTATCCGAAAATCGTCCGAGTCAGAAAGAGCAGAGCGGTGGGTTTGAGTGGTCGCTTTTGATGGATCGTACGCTCCCATTCGGCATCATGATATGGCAAATACGCATCAAGCAAGAGAATTTAAGGCTACTGAACTGGTTAATCAGATGATGTCCAATGTTTCATCGAAATCCTCAGCGAAAGAATTTCCCTTCACCTTGCCAGAAGCAGGAAATTGTCGTCTTTAATAGCTTCTGCCCCAAAATCAAGTGCATTTGCATTTCCCCCTCGAACAATAAGTAGAATTTAAAAGTAGCGAAAAGAAAATATCATTTTTGCGTCTCACTTGGCTAACGCATGTTAAAACCAACTGCTGAAGTTGGTTTACTACCTTTATGTTGCGGTGGATTGCAAAATGCTTTTAATTACCCACATTGCGAAGAGAATAATATGGTGAGTGATAAAACGTCTGTGGTAGGGATAATAACTACCTCAAAGTTTGGTGTTATGCGAGATAAAACTAAATGATGGTTGCAGATAAATCGAGCGCTGCAAATAAACCGCGATGGTTCGCCCGCTTCTTGTGTCCAGTGTAGGCACGATGGTCACAAAATAAATCACAAATTATGGCAACCATAGATTTTCTATTCAAAAAAAAACAATACCATTTGTTTGGTAAGCTAAATGTCTCCAATCATTTGTCGCTACTACTCCTTACGGGTGTTGTCTTAAGATTCCAGGCGGTCTGCCTGAGTTCATTACCAAATTGGAACTTCATCGAAGAAATAGTGAAAAATATCGCTTCGTGTTAAGTGGAGGATGATTAAATTGCCTTATGCTATCTAAGTGGTCCCATTAGTGATGCGTAAGGCAGTAAATGACGGAAAGCCACTTTCCACTGAGTTTTATTGCTGGTAGGGCAATACTTTAGAAGGAGGGAGCGGGACAAGCAGACGATCCATCTATGAGAGTGTCCCCGTTCATTAAGTGGAAAGCTTAACATTTCGCAAGGCTCTCGTCATTAGACTCTCACAGGAGAACTGTTCCACATAAGGTTGATTTTACTCAAAAAATGAAAAAAGCACCTCTTCCGCAGCTTGGAGTTACACCACCTCAACTAGACAAGCGTCTTTAACTCAGCCAACAGCGGCCACACATCATGCGTGGAGGACACTGGTGAGGAGTTTCCCTTTCACACTTTCAAGTGTTGTTTTCAAAGCTGAAATGCACCTTTTAATTACATTAATGCATGGCATTAATTATGAAATGCTGTTAACGAAGTTTGTTACCCAACTAACTCCAAGACCAAGGAAACTGCACTGGTTAAAAGAAATTTTTGTTATTTCAGCGACTGAATTTGACCTGTTTCGGTAAACAGTCGTACGCACAAACCGCACTAAGTGTGCGGTCAAAGTGAAAATTTTTCATTTTTAATCAGCCTAATCATGATAAAGGAAACTTTCTTTTAGAAAGACGAAATCTTTAAGTAAAAACGAGGAACGTCAAAACAACCAAATTTGAGTAGTTGTCAAATTAAAAGGATCAGATAAAAAAAAAGGGGCTTACTCATTTCCTCTCGGGTCTCCTCTACCACGGGTGAGGGCTGTGGACTCGGAGGCTCAAGAGCAGGATTGGTGTTGAATAGGTTGGCAAGAAAAGCGAGATTTAATTTCATAGATCCATTAATAATGTCTTTAGGTTGTACAAATACCCGACAATTGAGCTTTTCTGCGTTCTGCAACACCATCTCCGCGCGTTGCACCAAATCCACCGCATCTAGAATGGCCTGCATTGGAGGAGGAAGAGTGTTTACCTAACTTCGTCAGTAGGATGTTTTATTCCGCCTCGATGGTGCTTGGACTAACCATCGTCTAGAGCCAACAAAACCCTTGTCAAAAAAAATTAGACGAACGATTGCCCACGTTTTTAGGCAAATTTTCATGACCAACACACCAACGAGGAATGTGTATTGCACTTTTTGCATGTTTTAAACATAAACTTGAGCATTCCCTAACTGGGGATAGTCATCAATGTTGTTCACCTATTTTGGTACTTTTGCACACAACTTTTTTTCTTGTACTTAAGAAATTTGCATGTAACTACAAAGTTTGTCGCCTTGCGTAAAATTAGAATTGGAAAATCGCACTAAACAATGCCCTTTGTTATTTTTGACGCCATTTATTCACTCATATTTGGTGTTCAAAATGCAGTCCAATTTAGGTTATTTATATCCTAGCTAATTTTTTTTTAAAAGAGTGTAACTCCTTATTTCCTTCGCCGTGATCAGACATCAAAATGACACACAACTGACGTCATCCAATCCATCACATAATGATAGCATAATGAAGTCTCAGAATTACTTATTATTGGTAATTTTTTCCTCCATTTGATTAGAAGTATTTCGCTTTCGTCTAGACATGATATAAGCTTACCTTGGAGGAGTGAAGGAATGGCTTTTTCTCGGGTGGGCTAATTTGTTCCAACAAGTAGGCGTAGACCTCGCAGTCCTGCATGAGGCAAATGGGTAAACTACTTGAAAGGTGTAGCGAGTAGCCGATAGGATAATCGTACATGCATATTGTAATTTATACAAATGTGTTTAAAAGGTCTTTATAAGGGAGAGGCAGTTAAAGGTTTCGAGACGAATCCGGTTCGTGAGGAACACGGGGACATCCGCGAGGTGACGTCGATTTATCGTCTCATAGATATATTCCTTTCCCTTTCTGTATAAAATGCTAAATAACCCTTTCCAAATCAACCCTCTTATGAAGTCAGAGGCTCGGAGACCTGAGGGTAGGCTGGAAGGTCCTACACACTGTCCAGAGCTAATCCATGCAACATCTGAGCGGCTTCCAACAGAGGCCCTATTTACTGACAGGAGGGAAGCACTTTAGTGTTCTCTACGTGGCACACACACATGTCCAACGCAATGTGCCGTCTCTCATGCCTAATTGATGGTTTACCTTTTGGCTTGGAAGGAATTTGCAAGGATTTTATTGGCACCCCTGTGTCTAGTTGATCGGTTTGTATCGTCGAAACACAACGCCTCGAATGACTCTGGCAAGTTACGGTACAGTTCAGCCCCTCATTATGCCAACATCGATCATCACTGATTAGTTATTTTGTTAAAAAATGTTTACTCCATTTTATGCAGACTTTACCTTTGCAATCATAGTAACTGGAAGTGCATTTTTAGCTTTTAAAGAACTATTTCTTGATTTAATAGAACTTAATCAAAATCGGGTTGGTTTGATTCTTTCTACTACAAACGAGTCCAAATGTTAAGTCTAACTCTGCATCTTTCAATATTTCCATCATAAATTTTCAACTTGTTTAACAAAACTCACAAAGCATTACGAATTTAGTTCGCATATTCGTGTGTGACTGCAATTTTTAAAGTTTTACCTTCTTCTACCACCCGGTGATATTTTGTTGCATCGAAACAATTCCACTCCACCTCAACGCCTCAAATCGCGACGAAGTCGCGATGTAGATCCAGTGGAAACCAAAATCGGGCTTTTGGACATGTTGTCACTGTCCTCCACCGAGAATGGCACCTTAGAGTGTGTGAAGAGTGGCAGAAAAGTGGGCAAATACAGAGTAACCCTTTAGGCAAATAATTGCGCAGACCTCAACAGACGTGAACACACACATGCATAAGCTGACAATCATGATGCCATGTACCAGATTATGCTAATAGCGTCCACACGAAAGTGATGACCATCTCCTCGCAGCTAATGCGATGCAAAAATCGCTGGCCTCGCATCAAGACGCGTCACGCAGCAAGAGGCATGCAACGGCGAAACGATCATTCGGCCGACACGGTAGCCAGTTGTCATGCAAATAACTAATCTGAAACCGGTTCTCAGACAAACAGTCTTCAACACATTTATTTAACACTTCTTTAGCATTGCATCTTAAACTCTCGCCCTGTAGATGCTTTACAAACGGCTTGGTGGCAGTCTTTCTTCCTCATTAACAACCTTTTGTAAAATTCAAACAGGACCTTCTGATGAGTCCTGGACTTTGACTTATGGGACAATATCCCCTCCAACAAATTGTTTTAAATGATTTTATGTGCTCAGAAAGCTTATCTTTTTCAGTCGGTAAATTTTGACTCGACTTTACATACCCAACTGCCATCATGACAATGTGATTTTATGCCCTCTAAAACGCTCTCTTTAACCAGTAAAAAGATACTCCATCAGTGTTTTTCGATCTTCAGTTATGCTTCGCTTATACGAAACTCGGGGTAGAAAATAGCACGGGCGTCTCACACAAAGTAGGTCATGCCTTACCATAGAGTTGGGAGCCCGTGAACACTTGTGATGTAGAAAATTGGTACAAGTGTCCTAAACATCCGAGTTGCTAAAGCCCTGCCTAAATCGAAAAGCACGTTTCTTTGGATAACCTTCGGGAATACTTTTTTGATAACGAAAGCCTATGCTTTCTAGTCTGAACAGCTAAGATGCCAACAGAATTTGTACTTGTACTTGTTACGAACGGTGTACTAATCAATGGGGAAAAAGCAGCGCCCGAACTAATTCACAAAGCCACGCATTTAAGCGATAGATTCTAGCAGTAAAGTATTCAAGGCTATGTCACAAATTTGGCTGTGGAAATTAAGATATCAAGGTTTGAAATAATCGTGATTTGAATAAGCGACTCCGAATTCCTTGCTATACGCTTGAAGAGGTCATGAAAGCCGTTAAGCATATGAGTGGCACCTATAATATAACAGTAAATTCAAAAAACTTCCCAGCCTATCAAGTTTTAGCAGACATAATCGCATCTACTGTGCATGATTTAGATGCGTCTCTCATTCCTCTTCTTCAGACTATCCGATTTTTTAAAAAACTTGCCTTTGGATTTCTCCTGCTAAGCAAACAAGCGCATTATAGAATTTGCTTAAGCGATCATCTCAAAATTCACATTTCTGCATTCTAATTAAGCAGTAAAGGTGAAGGCGAACTTTTATAAATAGATGGATTTTCAAGATTGAGTTCAAGTTACCCGTTGTTCATCACCTTTTCTAAAGCAACATAGACAGCGCGCAGAAGAGGGCAAACAGAGTAAAAAAGTTAAATAAAACCCTATTTAATTATGAAATGATTGCCTGCTTTTACATGTCAAGGTAGATCATAAGATTTGAATCTTTTTGACCAAAGGCCAAGTCACATTAAATGCAGCATAGATTATAACATTTCAATCTTTCATATTGCATTTGGTGTCACCATACACGCCTTTTGTCGCGCATTCCATTACCTTTTATTGAAGCCAGTACACTATACGACTCAAGTACTCACTTTAACATCAATAGTAAAGTTTTCCATTCTTGCATCACAGTCAGCTCGTTTGAGATGGTAGTTGACCCACCGCATCAATATTTGCTCAGGAGAGAGCTTTGCAAATTCGGTTATTGTTTCATCTTCATCCAGAAGAGCAACCAATTCACTGTGTGCCACCACATTTATTTGGCGCAGTAAGCCAATCTACGCGATAAAAATAAGGTGTTGATTGTTATTTTTTTTGCAATTCAATAAAATTGTTCTTGAAGGGAGAACAAGCAAGACATTTTATGTCTCAGTGCCTTGTTTCTATCTACGGCCATTAACACCCAAAGTTAATGCTTGAAATCAAAATTTAGGACGTGGTCATTAGGCTTAGTAAACTGTCGTTTTTGATAAGGAACTAATCACCAGTCTTCTAGTCTTACAATTCGATGACACCAGCACTTTACACTGTTACCGCATACCTTAATTATTTGCCATAATAGACCTAATAACAAATGACGAGTTCCATCGACTATGTCCGCTGCTCCGATGTTGACAACATTGCATCCAATAGCACGAGCGCTGTTCAACGCTAACGTTATATTTTCCATCACCTGGTAGGTTGTCAGCCGTTTTCCACGATGAAGAGCCCTCAAATCAATCGTTTGAGGTGCGGAACAATTGATGATTTTGCTAAAAGAACAAAATTGACTTTTATATTGCTTGGATAAAAAAGGACTCTTTTAGTTTTATAATATGTTGTTACATTGATCAAACAAATAGGAACGATATAGAAGTATAAAAAAGAAGCATTCACCATAAGAGAAATCCATCGCTGCATTTTTCATATAAATCATCTCCATTTTCTTTAAACGGGAAGTATTCCTTGCACATTTCATCTTCGCATAGGTTTCTAATAGGGCTCGTGAATTGTAAATACTTGTACCTTTCCAGCCATCCACAGAAAGCAACTTGCTCATCTTCACTAACACTATGAAGTGTATCATCACCTTGCGGGGATAAAGAGGATCCATATTGATAAATAGTAGTTCGTGTGGACTGAGGATCGACCGATCCAGATGCTTCTTGTTTGCAAAATTCTTGATATAACTAACAGGCATAAAGGGTTTCAAAACCTTACCCTTTTAAATTCATTAAAGTTTATGCGCTTTTGAAAAAAATTAATTTGACAGTTTTCCAGAGCTTGACGAAGGTCGCCGTGGGATTTGTGAAATCCCAAAGATTTCAGTGCTGCAAGAATCCCGGTCTCGTGCAAAAACCCACTTTGATCCCGATCAAACTGTTTAATCAAATTTGAATTCTGGAAAACATACCAAGTTGAAAACTGTTAGGAGGTCGGAGAACTTTGCCGGCTGTCTATCATCACGAGATCCCATTATTAAATATTCTCGTGCGACTGAGATGTCAAAGAGGATTCCTGCCTAACTCAAGGTCTTATTGTGACTATTTTGATGAACGTAAACGTATATGCTCAGTGCTACAACCACTTTTTTTTTCTAAAATTTTACCAATACTACATTTTGCGCATTTATTTTTTAAATTATACATCATTATCTGAATGCAATCCTGTTTTGTTGTAATGTATGCGTCAAAATGCACGAGTTTTAATATTTCACCCCTTTGTTGGCACTATAAACGTTTAACTGATTTTCTATCGGGCAACTAAATTAATTTTTATTGAGGTGGAAAATAAAGTTACAATACTTAGAAAATACTGTAGGACTCCAAAACAGACACAGACACAGTCGTGTATATAAGGCGGTCCGTTATATCATTTCCGACATTTACGCATGAACGACGTAGAGGAAGTACGACACGGAACTTTTCCTGAGAGTTCACGGCGATGTCGTTTCGGTTGTTAATAACTTGTCTGAGGGCAACAGGGATGCGGTAGGGCCAAACGCTGACATCATTTGCAATCCTTCTAATGTGAAGCCTTAACACTCAACATATATGTGCCTTCTCCACACCGTAGATGTCGCAAACTGTGATATTAGGTAGAAGCCTTTGAAAAGCCTGGTTCGCGTTCCACTGCCATGCGACTTGTGTCAGATAGAAGAAGGTATCATATTGGGCAGAATATACATATACTGGGAGAAGAATGAGGCGCGCAAAAGCAAAACGTACCCGTAAGTGACCACCAGGTATCAGTAGGTCCCGTAAATTAAGTATTACACTGATACCAGAACCAAACTTTCAATATATTTTTCCTCCTTCATCAGAAAATTTTCGCGTACCTCCATTATTCTTGACCAGCACTGCCGCATCTTGGGACTTTCCATTTACTAGTAGAAATCATTTAGCCCGTGGAAAAACTTGCATTGGAGAAGAAAGGGTGGTGATGAGGCTCTGACAATTCTCGAAGTCCAACTCATCCCTCAATAGCAAGATAAGCCCCAAAGCGATCTCCACTTGTACGGGTAGTCGAATGCACAAAGTATTATGATGATTCTCTCCTCTTTTAAACCACATTCCTGGCCACCCTCTAGGTTCACCCCCTGCTCCAGCCTCGATCTGAGATTATGTTCGACCAGAATGCAGGAATCAGAAGCAGTGCCTCTGCTGACCATCACATGTGACCGGAACTAGACACTAAAATATCGGTCCAAAATATAATGCAAAACGGTGGAAATCGGATCGAAAACAGTCCAAATGGGAAGGTTTTAGCGCAATGTCATAGCTGACGTGTATGCGAAATGGTGATGCTTTGGTCTTCATCACAGCTTGCCAAAGACACAGCAATGGGGTAAAATGCAAATGGCAGACGCCATTCCCACCCCTTCTATTGTGGAGCGGTTCGAGATTCTCCATTCTGAAGAGCATAAACTTTGCTTGTTTTCCACTAGCGCAAAAACCAGACTGGAAGTTGTGACAAAGTCGGATTCGGTTTCCATTATCCCGAGTGTAACCTCCTAAGACTTTCCATTAGATTGTAGAAGCCAAAACTTTGATCTAACGCCTTTATTCAGAGAGGAAGGAAAGATACAATACTATTTTTTTTTAAGTGCTGGAGTGATCGGCTATTTGTGTCTGAGCGGTCTTTTAACCAAGTCAAAGCCCAATTTCCCCCTCCCCCAGCAACAGAATTGGGACTTGGCCATAGACAGAGGGTTAGCCCCTCTTATTTAACCCAGCAAAAGTAAAACAACCTCCATAGTGATCGTAAATCATGCGGATCGTCGAATAGACAAAGTACTACAAGCATGACCCACAGCTTTGGGGAACCTGAGACTCAACACATATTAGCATTGACCAATTGCCCTCTTCTTACTGTCCATCCTCCCTCTAAAAACAGCGTATTTTTACAAGGACGATGCAATCAAGACCTCTACAACTCAAAATTACAGAATTGAATGGCTCTGTCGGTCAGTTCTTACAGATGAATCCAAATATGGTTCCAAATTTTCGACAGCTTGCTATGCAATTCAAACCGATGGTGGAGAACATTTAAAGTAACTCCCGACGGCAGCTACTTTCCAAAATGAGGTGAGCTATCCTTCCTCCTCTTTTGCCTACTCCCAATTGGTTCTCATTTACTTGTGTAATTTCGACCCTGAATTTGGTGCAGGTGGGTGGATGTTAGACCTGGTGTTATTACAAATCCCTTGCAACAACAATCCAATCGTTCCTTCTTCAGCAAGCTTGTAATCAGCTAAAGAAAATGCAGTAATGGTTGAAGATGAAATATCGTCACAAGTATGCATAAGAAGAGGCATCAAAAAGTGGAATTTATTTTATGGCTGGAACGGACCCGGAACCTCGTCCTTCTCTCCTTTCATTTGGCTTCTCATGATGTGTGAAACTCTGGTTTTTATGCCATCTTTCGTGACAGTAAAAAACATCGGCACGTTAACGTAATAACAGAGCGTTACGTGTAGCTCTTATCCAAGAGGTATTGCAATGCTCTGTCTAACTGGCAGTTTTGATTGTAGACATTGGTAACTACGATGTGTTGATTATGTAGGCTGGCCCCCATCTTATGTCGAAACCCTCATATATATCTATGTTCTGCCTTGTCATGTTTCAAGGAAGACTACATTGGGAGCGGATCCCACTTCAAATCGACTTTTACCTTGTTTCAACCATGTGAATAATTTGCATATTCTATATTTTACAAATTCAACTGTAAAAGAGGATGTGGAAATGACGTTATCTCTTTATCCTCCATCTGTCTTACACGCTCTACGAACTCAAACTACTTTCTTGGGATAGATTTGAAGGCAAAATACTCAGAAGTGAAGTTTTTGAGACGATTGAGAAAATCCACAGACATGAATTATAGCTTTATAAAGAGAGCTCAAAAACATCGCGTAGAAAAATGGCACGATATGCTTATTTCGGAAAAGTGCGCAGGAAACCATTAATTAACTCAGGTGGATTTTGCATCATGACAAAGGTCGCTTTCGAGACACCGTGACACCGTTTTGCACGCAGCAATTGAGGACACGGAAAAAACTTAAATTATCCAAACAACTTTGTACTTTTCCAGATTTAGATGACTACTTTGCGAGCTTTGCCTAGAGACCCACTACAATTGCACTTTACCACAAAATGGAAGTAAGACAAACGCTTTTTTGGAGCAGACTTTACAACCAGTTGCGTTATCTATTGTCGATTGGATGCTGTCTAAATAGACGCTTAAAAAAGCAAGGTTTTATCGTCACTTATGCGACAATCAAAAGTAACATAAAGATGAGAAGGAGAAGCACCACCCAATAAAGGATGTTTTTTAATGGCATGAAATCTTAGCTAGGATATGCGTTTGAAATACGTGAGCCACTTTTTGGCCTGTCGGTGCTAGGCGGGGCAAAGTTATGATCTCATTTGATGATACAAGCAACACCTTGCCAGTAGATCCAAAAATAGTATTGGCACGCTAATGAAAGGTGCGAACTACTGACTGCGATACTAATTTGGTGCGCAAGAAGCTTCGTTCCATCTCTTACAGGCCCCTAGTAAAGGAAATGGAATCATATGAAAAGGTCCCATTGATTATTTGGTAAAAATATATCTACGTTTTATGAAGACATGATGATAGCATTACATGTTTAATCAGTCAATGCAAGGAAAATTTGACCATCACTTTAGGACTTGTCAGGTCCTTGTACGCTTGGGCTAGCCTTCGAGCCAAGCTTAGACCTAATCCCTCTATTCTCCCTTTAACACATCCGTTTTAGACCAGAGTTCCACCGTCAAGTCCAGAAAGTAATCGATACTTGACAGATGCATGCGGCCCTGAAACCGGCTGTCAGGCCGAATGGTCCAGTTGAAGCTGCTGAGGGGAACAAGTGCCGTCCCTCAGTCTCATGGTAGTTGATGATTGGTGCATCCGGTTCGTGGGTGCTTTCTTGCAGTACCGTATATGCTGTGATGACAACCAGATTCGGGGCCGCATACATACACCTCTTGACCATCAATTGCTTCCAGGAATAGACGGTGAAACTCTGGTCTAAAACATATATGTTACAAGGGGAAATGGGATAAGCCACTGTCCCGTATGTAAGGAGAAACGTTGTGTCATTTCCAACACCTAGACACGCATTTTGCATGCGAAACTCCAACACGAAACTTTTTCCGATAGTTCATGGCGGTGTCGCTCCACTTGTTAATAGCTTTTCTGTGGAACACGGAAATAAGGTGAAACCACATGCAGACGTCCGTCTAAATCCTTTCGTTGTGAAGGATTTAGGGATTCTTCGTCACCGAGGTAAATGCGCCTCCTTCAATTCACGTCCCTTCTCGCCTTTATCTTCGTCTAGTGCACTTCAATAGAGTAAGACTTCCTTCTATGCATGTATAGCTCATGATTGCCAATGCACAACACCAACATGGGCTTATTAATCTTGGATTACTCCACTAAAAAGTAAAATTCCTTTGCAGTCCTGTCTGCTGGTTGAATTGTAGCCTTCTTGTCATGAAAACCCGATTTTTGGGGTATCTGCATATATTGAACCAGTGCATCATCCAATGGAACCGTTGCTCGTCGGCTTGTTCGTACTGTTCTTTTCCGGAAATAGGTCGATTAATTGGCAACGTTTAGTAACGCAAACGTAGGATGTCAGTAAGACAGCGGTGTCTGTTGGGCAATAGATTATCGCTTTTAACAAACGACCAACGAAGAACAATGCAGAGAGAAGCACCATCTCGGCTGCAGCAGAAGGTCTTCAAAAGCACTTTATATCTAAAAGTTGTCAAAAAATGTCTGGTTCGCTTTCCGCTGCCACCAGTGTAGCGTCCCGAGACTTCCCATAGGGTGGAAGAAGGCATAAGTAAGGATGAATACATATATTCGAAGACAACAGAGCAAGTGGAACCTGAGCGTGACCCGAAGGCCAGCCCACGTGTACACAGGCCGGACAAATTCTAAAGTTACCACCAAACGTCTAGTAATCACATAAACAAAGCATTACAATTAGTGCCGGGAACGTCGCTAAAAATTATGAACAGCGTAATACTTTGTTTATATAACCACCTGATGTCTGGCGATCACTTTAGGATTCGTCTAATCCTGTACGCATGGACTAACCTTCGGACCAAGATTCATCCTTTTGTTCGGCTTCACGTAGTGTCTTCTTCTATCTGGTGGCAAGTCTCGGGTCGGTTCAACGGAGCCTTGGAATTTAAGAATTTGGTTTGAACAAATGTGGTGGATTTAAGCCCTCCAATGCAAGTTATGATAAGCTGTGTGTTTACGGAAAAATTACGGATGTCAATATGTCCCATGCAAAGCCATTGTTTTCGTCAACAGATGATACCAAAAGGTGGCAAACTATGTAAATATATTGCCTCAAAGCATACATTCATCTAGAATGCGGTCTCGAGACTTCGCATTAGGTACAAGAAGGCACTGAGTAGGACTAATTACATGTATTCCGGGAAGAACAAAAGGATTAAGCTTGAACTTAGTCCGAGAGCCAACCCAATGCGTACAAGAGTTAGAAGAATCTTAAAGTGACCTCCAGATATCAGGTGGTCTCATAAAGCATTACTTTGTTTATGTGACTACCTGACGTCTGGCGGTCACTTTAGAATTTTCTGCCCCTGTACACGAGGGCTGGCCTTCGGGCCACGCTCAAGCCCCGTTCACCCTTGTAATATATTCTAGTTTGTTTAAGTGGACTTATGGGCGAGAGGCGGAAAGCAATTGGAAACGTGGATCACGTGCGCGAGGTCGACAAGGAGCCTCCCTGCGATCGACATCTCCTGCTCATCACATCTGCATTTTATCCCCCTATTCTTCTTACAGAGATGCCTACTAAAACGTCCACAACCAACTTCCTCTTGAAGTCTGAGAACCAGGGGCCAGAGGGTAGACAGGCAGTAACTACAGCCCTGTCGTCTTCGAATGCATGCATTTCAATCCCACTTATGCCTTCTTCCTCCCTATAGGAAGTCTCGGGATGCTACAGCGTTTACATCACATTCATCTCTTAATTATAAGCTGAAATTTCCAAATACGGTTTGCATTAATTGAATAGATTTTAGGCAAACGTTGATTGCGCTCTATACAATGCCATGGAAAGCAGGCTTGTATGAAGAACTTAAAAACTGTTTGATATTAGAAACTCGAAAAGTTTTAATTAGGAACTTTAGGCGCACCAGTATTGTGTCTATTAAAGATGTTTTGATTAGGCGAGGAGGTCAATGCAGTAAGCCTACTTAGTCCAATAGCAATTTCTGTTTGCATTTTATATGTTGTTAACGGTAAACTATAGAAGTATTTAGTAGTTCTACTGTGTCTTATCTTTTAGACTAAAGATAAAGATAAGGAAATTTTGTTTTAATTCATGTGAGAGAGGGCGAAAATTTGAGTTACGTGCTCCGAGGGTTCTGTGCCCCTGAAGGCAGTCATGGCCCCTCAGTGCTTGGTGATAGATCTGGGTGGTGGCTCGATCAAATTTGGTCTTTCGTCTGCCAAAAGTCCTAGGTATATGATGTAGATCACTTAATTTTTCAGATGCGTTGATAACTGCATTTACAGGTCAAAAAACGTACCAGGGCGAAATTTCATTGGTAGTGAAATTGAAGAATGTAAGAACCTTTCAAGTCTATTTGGGATATATCCCTTTAAAAAGGTTTGACTTTATCATTTCTTTACTTTCATAGGGGTATATTAACAACTGGGACACCCAGAAACAGATACTAGATGGTGTGTTATGCCGTTACATCAATTCTGTAAACTTTTCTAGTCTTCACTATTGCTCCTTAGAGTTCAGCTGATATGCAATCTCTGAATCTATTTGTCACCGAACCTTATTTCAACTTTACTTCTACTAAAGAAACTATGAATGAATTGTTTTTCGAGGAATATCACGTCGCTGGTCTTCTTCGAGCTAATCGTAGGTTTCTTTTCTGTTTTCTCACGCTCTAGCCGCTTTTTTCGCCGCATATAGATATCGATCTGGGTCATCTCAACGCCCGTCCCGATATTCCCTTATCATTGACAGCGGCTACTCTTTCACTCACATACTTCCGATGGTCGACGGAAATATTATGAAGGAATTCGCTCTGAGGTGCGATGCTTCGTTTGAATTTATCCCGGTTAGGCTCTCCGTTGGCGGCAAAATCTTGACGAATCGGCTGATAGAGGTCACATCTTACCGTCAACTTGATGTTAGGAGCGAAGTTTATATCATGAACCAATGCAAAGAAGATGCATGTTTTGTATCCACCGATTTTTGGGCTGATCTCACATGTGCCAAGTGAGTTTTGGCTTGAGTGTGGGCTTTTTTGCTTGTAATGCTTCGACAAATCAAATGTGCAATCAGTTTTACACTTCTTGTTTGGTTTTCCCGTTATCCCATCGTGGACTCTCTATTGGCAACCCCTCGAAAATGCTTGCAATATCATTGGGGCACTCTAATCGTCTCGATAACTACTGGCTCTGAGTAACCAGAGTGCGTGGCACGAATAGAGCCCTGTGTCACAAGCTTGGATTCTTATTTTCAGATTCCCGCTCTATTCTCATTAATATTTTTTTCTAGTCTACTGGCACAAGATGCTGGCTAGATTTATGGTAATGCCAATTTGAAAATCTAATGAGATTTGTAATTTGGCATTAGAAAGATAAATTCGGAATCCTGGAGTATTTCTCGATCTCCCAATTGTTCCAGGTTGATATGCTCATTTCCGTTTTGAATCTCATACGGTAGTACCTGTCATTGTTATCAACTGGATTGTTGCCTGCATTGAGCACTTTCTTTATGGTACTCCCTTCATACAACAACATTTGCTCAAAGTGAAGGATGTGTGAAGATAAAAAACGCTCTATTCCTGCTGTGGTAACATTTTTCGTCTTTGAATGAGTTATTTTCATCTACTTACTTTATTTGAAACCATGATCCAAGGTTTTGTTAGTTTTGAGAGCAATAAATTTGGTTATGGTTTCGATTCCTTTTGTTTCATTCGTTACATTAATTTTGTGTCGTTTCGTCGTGCATTATTTAGTCAACAAACCAACTCCTTTTTAAACCAACTTTATCACAACGTAATCTTGGGTTTTTTATCTCTCTATTCATGTGTGACACTTGACTCATCACCGCAACATTTCCTCTAATTGCCATTGGAAGATCTCACAATCCCTCAATCAACATGCTAGCTCGAGAGTACGTACTCCCAGATTACATTGACGTACACCGAGGTTATCTACGTAGTCTCTCGGAAAAGCCGAAAGATGCTGTTGACCGGACTAAATTGCAGGGATACATTCTGCGTCTTAGTAATGAGCGCTTCACCGTCCCTGAGCTCCTCTTTCATCCTACTGACGTCGGCTACACCGAAATGGGCATCTCGGAAGCCGTGCAGCACCTTCTCACTGAACGCTTACCTCCTGGCGTTCGACCTGGCGCCATGGCCAATGTCCTTCTCATTGGCGGCAATTCAAAGTTCTCTGGATATAAGGAAAGAGTGTGAGTCTTTTCAATGTTCGCATTTTTCCGCATTGCAATGATTTTTATGTGCATTGGTTGGGCGAAGCTATTAAAATGCGGCGAAGAAAAGTTTGTGGATTGGCGGTGAGAGCATGAGGCGCAGGTTACTGTAGTATATTGAGTAGGAGTTCCTTGATGTCTTCATTTGTTGTTGCAACCGCAGTCAGAGTCCCTGACTTGACTTTCCCACGAAAAACAGTCTTTTGGCTTTCCAAATTACTTTCTATTTATACCTAGAATGTGATCTGTGATTTATGACATAAATCAACTCGCTATTGTTCGATTTTTCATTTTCGTCAGATGTGGGTCGTAGTTCTTTAGCACTTTCTTTGCCCTTTAAGCGGTGCTTTCTTGGTTCATCCAAAGACCTAAGTTCTTTCAGTCTGTCTGGATATGGCTAAGTATTCTTATTCCAAGCGGTAGTAATTGAGCCCAAACCCGGGCTCAGGCTCTAATTAGCTTAAAGTAATTTTCTACTACTTGTCGAGAATGGGTTTGTTAACGATGGTTCATTTCCAACAAGGGGTGTGCCCTGACTTCATATTATTTTTTATGCTCATTTGTAAATTCCTCACTTAAAATCCTGGCGAAACAGTGTTTAGTCATTTGGCAGACTGACTCAAAGGTGTTTAGTGAGCTTTACTTTTATGCTTCCACAGTATCTGCTACTTAATTAGTTATAGTAGACCTCCTGGTTTAGGCTGTGTGATAGTGTTGTCGATAATGCAGCGGAAATAATTCCTATTTTAATGCCTCTGTCAGAACTGCTCTGGTTCCCTTTTTTTCTTCATTATAGGTTAAAGGATCTTCGCAGCTGTGTCCCACACGACTTACCTGTGAACGTCTTTTCTCCACCTGAGTAGGTTTTTTCCAATCGGAATAGTACTTTTACCTTCGCATAAACTGTTCTAAACAGTCGTCGATTTTTTACATTATTCCAACACACTTCTATAAGTTGATTGGTGCATTTTCACGCACAAAGAAGGTATGACACCTACACGCAATGGGGAGCCTTCCTCTATGCCCCTTTCCAGCTGTTTCCCCATTATTACCTGTTTAATATTCTGTATCCTTTTTCGATCCCAGACCTGGATCACCCGCTCCCACGTATCTACAAAGCATATTGCGTTTCTTACGAGCTTTCGAAATACGGATGTGAGCAGGTGGTCATGACTTATTGCACGTGTGAAGTCGGTAGACTTTCACGCGAATCACACTGCGCTCGCTCTGGCTAGCTAACCGTAATTGTAGAGGTCTATGTAGTGTCATTTGGATTTGGTGCCTATCCACGTGACCATCCCTTCGGAAGCTTTGTTCAGGCGTTCGCGCTTGCAGTCACTAACTTCTTATCTCTTCATTTTCATCTCTTTCCTTTGCTTTTGTGTTTCCCTCTCAGTTACTCATCTGTCTTCACTTGCCTCCTGGCAAATGAAAAGCGTTATCTGACGATTCTTTCTAGAATAGATCCCTCGTCTTAGTGACCGCTTATTGTAAAGTTCTTTTATTTTTAGTCACATGTATAATCGATTTGGCAACTATTTTTCCCGAGTCTTGTCAGGCTAGCTTAGCCAGTTTAAGCTATCACTTTGGAATGAGTCTCTGCATAATACGTAGGATAATTATTACAAAGCTCTCGTAATTCCAACCTTTGAACATCAGGTTTTAAGAGTGTTTGCATTTAAGAATATTTGTACTCCGATTAACAATAGCCCATTATAAATTGACGTTGGGTTTAGTGTTGCAATCTTCTTGCCACCTGATCATATCGCTGTGACTATGTAGCTCATTGCGTTACAACCATGATCGGTTACAAATGAACTCTACCCCGATGAACCGGCTATTTGTTTAGCTCACTGTTGCATTGCGATGAGCAACTCTTTGCTTTCCCCTAATCAGACTACTATGTATGCTTGTTTCTCTTAATGATGTTGTGGTTTTAAGTGGCTTGTTTACTGGCTGGATCTTGGTTAGTAACTATTTCGAGTTTTGTGCAGTTTCGTTGTCCTCAGGTGTTGGACCATGCTATCTGAGTCCTGATGCTATTACACACTGTAATTTAAGCCAACAGTAGCCCAAATATACCGCATTTTGGAGATAATATGAGTTGAGTTCGTGATGGGTTGTTCCAGGGTTGGATTTCTAAGGTTCGCTCAATTCCTTTCCTTTCTCCAATAGCTCTGCCTCCTATGCTTACATTAGTAGCATCTCCATTTAATCCTCTTATGAATACCGTTTTGCATCAAGTCGCTTAATTTCATGTTCGCCCGTACTATTGAGCTAGTAAATTGTTCTGCTCAACTTCATCTTGGTTTCTTTTTTGTTTGGGAGCTGAAGGGGCAGATAGATTCCATGAATAGTACATAATCCATCTTTGGATACTTTCACTGTCCTATCTTGTCACGAAATTTTCTCACAGTAAACTCGTTCCAGCATCTTTGAAACTGTCTTTGCAAAGACTCCTCTGTGTTTAAATAACGGCTCAATCATGCCCTGCATGTACATGAATTTTCTAGTCGGACGTATGTCACTTTTTCTTGTATTGTGACCTGTTTTTCCATTTTGCGTGCGCAAAGTTCCCTTCGTTACGGTCATTGTTTACTGTGTTCGCCTTTGTGCATTATGAATTACATTCAACCGGTCAAATAGTCGGCTAGTAAAATTATTTATGTTATGTTGTTATGTGAGTCTACGATTATCGCGTCTTCTACTTGCGTATTTCATATCGTGTGATTTCGCCTTCTTTCCTCAGTTGAAATCCTCGTTCGGCTGTCATTATTGGTGAATTGAAAGGGGTTGCCTGCGGATCACAAAGAGTATCCGTGGGAGGATTTAATGCATAACTTATGAAACACATTTTCCTGCATTAAGCTTCCTATGGTAGTGGTTTGGTCAATCACCTAATGCGATACGCCCTCATCAAGTTCGTTGACAAAGACTCGAAGTACTTACTTGAATGGGAGCTATAATTTTGTTTTGATGCAATTCTTCGGCTACCTTGACCTCTTTCATTTATCATAAATAGTTGTTAACTATCAATCCAAAATGATTCTTGGAAAAATTGTTCAAGAAGGCTGGATTGAAAGCGTCTGAAACCAGAATAAGTAGTAATAAGCATTTGAATGAATAATTTTGAAAGTTTTAACCATTAAATACAACCTGTGTTCCGTACCCCATAGCCAATTCTCCTCTGACCGTACTAGCGACCCCTGGAAATTTTTGTGTACTACTTATGATGAGATTTCTAGACCGATAGTTTCCTTATGTAATCCCGACCTTCCGAGCGGAGGTTTTATTCCTTCACAACTGAAACAAGGTGAACAGTTTTCCCTTAAGAGAACAGTTTTTCAAATAGTCTTGATTCGGCATCACAGGGGTTACGATTCCTTCGTGTTTGGGCTAATTTTTCTCTTGTGCTCTTTGATTATGAAATTTATTGCTTTATCCGGAGAAAACGACTTTTTAATGGTTCTTGCAGACACCTGCAGCGCATTTTCTCGTTTTTTGCCCTTTCTATCTGAGATCGACGCTCACTGTATCTTTTATTTCACCAGGCTGGTGTTCACTTTTCTCTTCACATCACGTAATGAACTGACTCCTAAATATCTTCCCTTCATCACCATCATTCTCATTGTTGTTGTTGTCTATTCTGTTCCCATCAGCCAAGTGATGGTTCCATTACTTCCTAACTGACGATATGTGTTTTGACTCCTCTGAAATCAACTTTTTTACCGCAACAGATGCCTGTCAGCCTCTTGGCACTGTGATTCTGATGCAACTGTCGAGGGTTATCCCAAGTCGACTTTTTCTTAATGGATTTTCCTGCCTCTAAACCTCACTCCAAATCTGGGTTTGCGGAGCTGGACTTAACTCTGGGCCTTTGGGAGCCGCCTCCTAATAAATTTTTGCGGTGCTAAGCTCCACCCTTGTGGAGTTGTGTAGATACTTTTAATGAAAGCTGTTCTGAAGAACCCTTAACCTTTGCTGGTGGCATTCATTTTTCTTAATTGTTTTCTAATGGTCCTCCCTGATTATCACGTTTTTGCGTCCTCTGTACGCAGCATTGTTGTACGGCGAAGTTTCTTTGGGTTCCAATCCGACACAAAGAGGCTTATTTGGTTCTTTCAAATGATTGTCATATGACCGAAGTGCACCAGCTCATTTGTTATAAGCACTGGCTAAGAATTAATTTCATGGTACACGTGCTTTAAAGTGTCTATTCGTTCTTGAGTCTACTTAGTTATTCCGCCTTTCGCATATCCCCATTTCTCTTAGTCCCATATTCTTGTCTGCTTTAATCTTATGTATGGACAGTTTATTTCTGGTTTTGGGATACTCTGCTCCTGTTGCTAAGTCGCTATCCGCTTTTACCCAATCTTGTTGCTGACTCCGGATTCTATAATGGTTGGGACCCATTATGAATAGCTCTTTTCGCTCGTGGATAGTTTATCATCTACTTAATCACCTAGAGTCAATCAGAAAGCCTCCTTGTATAGTCGCAGCAATATTGGAAAAAAACTTGATAGTAGCGGTACTGCTACTCGCAGTTGCTATCTTGCAGTTCCTCTCTCCTCTCTTTCTGGTGCTGACAACTGCAACAAACGGCCTGGTATTGACGGATCATCACTGGCTATATTTCTTCGCCTAAGACTTCACAGAGATAGATGACTGGTAGCATATGCTGAAGCCTGAGATACCGAAAGGGGTAAACGTGTAGTTGTGGTAGTGACTGTAGGGCTGGTGGTTTGTTTTTAAGTAAACATGGGACTACCTCAGCCCGGTTCGACCGATGTGTGTGCGTGCACACATGATGGGATCGTAAATTTCAAGCACCTCGTAGGCACACACAGATGTACACAGGGAGAGGAACAGCTGACGTAACCGTGTCTATTTGTGAATGCAAGAGGCCTTTAAAGTAGCTCGCGTCATGGAAGTGTAGGAGGAGGTCGGGGCGGCGTTCTGTGGGCGATCCAATTGACTAAATTGCTGTCTGACCTGAATCAGGCACCCCACTGACCATGTATGTGTGTGTACACAGGCGGCAGCGACATGTGCTGGCTAATTTGCATACGTCTGCCCGCCTATCTATCCGTCTTCACATCATCAACGTCCTGTCTAGTAATTCCAGGATCTCACATCGATTATTTGCGCTACTCCTTCGTCTTCCACTTGATAGCTCGAAGTTTAGTATGTTTATCTCTACTTCATTTCTTATACATTCGCCTATGCAATTTCAGCAAATCTTGAAAAGCGGGACCATTTTTTTTTATTTGTGTATAAAAGGATCTATGGGCGTTTAGAATTCAGTCCGTTTGATCAAATGCCTTATACTTTTACGCAATACACTAAGTTGAAGTTGGAGTGTCACCATTACACTCCACTACCTTTATCTTTCATCATTTGCTTCGTTAGCTTGTTATTGGAAATAGCTTCATTGATACTTGTCCGTGTTCTTGAAATAGTTCATACCTACTCCTATTTGTTTTCACTCGCATTTTGAGAGCTTCATTTTTTTACACCCTTCGATTTCCCTTCTTTTCCATTGTTCTCGGATATCGATTGTGCTTGCAGGCATCTGCTTCCACCATTTGTTGGGAAAGCGTCATAGATTAGTTAAGTGCTTCGAGTAACAGTTGCTCCACCATAACGAAAAGACAAGTGTTTTCCCTTTCTTCCTCACTCTTTCTCCTATAGACCGTTGTCTTAAGGCTACAGATTTGATGAAACTTGCCCGCGGGCAAACTTGTTCAATGTCAGCAGCAGCAACAACAACTCAGGTTGCCTACTAGTTAGAGCATGATCTAGTTGTCCGGACATGTCCGTGCGTTGACTCACTGACGAAGTTACCATCGTAAACGGTTGTGGAAGCAGAGGCAGCAGCAGCGGCAGCAGAAATCCGACTGCCCTTCTTTCCTCCCACCACCTGCCCTGTTCTCTCGTTCTCTTCTGCCTCCACCCCTTTCAGGACACACCGGGGTGAGTCATCACCGAGTCCTTGCGAGAATACGCGTCTGTGCCCTCTGACTGTGATGTGTGGCTGTCACTCCATCTCGCATCTTCCCCTCATGCCCCTAAGGGGTCAGGTGGGCTCTTTCGCATCCTGTCATTAATGCATCAGAAACCGGAGACTAGGCGGGGACAGGATAAATAACTATCTAATCTCCTCACCTCATTGGCTATATCATATGGGAGCAGCTAATTATCCAATTTACTGTTCGTGCAGGTACTAAAGGACATCTCGAGATCTTTATGTACAACTTCGTACACTCGTTCGGAAGGGTGAAGAGTCGGTCAAGATTTGAATATCATTCACTTCACGCTTTGTTGCTTGCAATTCGAGTTTTGTTGCTGTTGCTGTCTATTCCGTCGTCATCCTCGTTGCTTGCATGTTTTTACCGTCTTTTCCCTACTTTCCTTTTCCTGCTTTCTTGTATGCGTCTTTCTCGATTTCTCCCTCATGACTCACCACTTTTCTCTCCTCCTCCCATCTTCTCCCCGTGTTTTCCTTCCTACTCGAAGACCTGAGCCAATCAAGCGCAAGCATAGAAAAGGTGATGTTTTGCCTTGTAATTGGGATCAAGGCATTCAGATGCTTATTGATTTGGACGATATCGCCTCATTGCCACTTTCGGGTACGATATGAATTAGGTTTAAAAGAGCTTCAGCTAATCAAGTTCGGGCTGAAAATCTCCCGACGTCCTTTTTAAGGAGAGCAGACCACTGCAATTCTTCAATCTCAGACAGTGAACTTGTCTGATTTATAGTTGCTCACTTGGATCTTTCGTTTTCTTTCAGCCCTCAAATGTATGCTTGGCAAGGAGGAGCTTTATTGGCTTCAAATCCTGCTGATTTCGATCAATACCTTGTCACTCGAAAAGAATATGAGGAGAATGGTCATGCTTACTGCGAGTCTCGTTTCCCTGTGACATAGGTGTGTTTGGTCATGGGTATATACATGTGTACATGGTCATTGTCATATTCAACCTCCCCACTTTGTGATCGGTTTTGATGTGGACGATAATGAAGGCTACGAACCAACACCAGTGTTCTCTGGTACGACAATGGCCATCTTTTCTTTCCAGTCAAATGTCGCATCACTACTCGAACATACCGGTGTCGACAAGTAGCGCCTGTTTGCTGATACTGTACACTACCAATTCATGGTTTTGAATTTTTATGAAAAATGGATGCAAAACTTGCGCGTTTATCTCATGTCGACACCCTTACTTCGACAATTAGTAGTGAATAATTTCTGTATTTAACGTATGCTCAATGATGCAGTGTGACAGGGAGGGGTGGGAGTGAGTTAAAGGACCGGTGACGATAAAGGGATACGGATATAGGGGGATTTAGAGGAAATGAGCGAGCGAGTGAGGGAAGGATTGAGTTAGTGAGTGGAGAAACTTGGTTCACTCATTTATCGGTGGATTGAGGTGGTTTGTTTGTTGGTTATATAAATCAGGGGAAATGCACACAACATCACACCTGTGCGGTCGTAGTAGAAGTAATTGAAGTAGTAACTCTGTCTTCTTTAATATTGCTTTATACACGCACGCAATCTTACGCATGCACACGGATACAATCACAAACACACACGCACACAAACACACGGAGTGAAGATGGACTGTAGAGCCACTCCGTCGGTAGCAGCAGAAGCACCAGCGACACGCAACGGAAGCTGAGAACATGTGAGCGATAGAGGAGTCAGGTAGAAGGAGACTGTGTGTATTTCGGGATGGGAGTAAAGTTGGTAGGCTCCTGATATTCGGTAATATCCGGTTAAAGCATGCACTATACATGGGGGAAGGGGAGTGGAAAAAGAGGGACTATGTGGGGAGCAGGTCTGTCTGTTTGTCGTGTCAGCATATTGCACATCTGAGTGACGAACTACATCAAAGTAATGTACACGAATTTGCAGTAAGACTCCCTTCCGCATTGTCACGCACACACTTTTCCACAGATCTGTCAAAACAAGTACCGGTTGCGCCCGTAGTCGTAGGGCGCTCGATCATAGGATGAATCCGTTTCCTGTTGCTGTTGCTGCTGCTGCAACTGTTGTTGTTGGTAGTGATAGTTGTAGGCAGCTGCAGCGACGGCCGCGGCAGTCATTGAAGCGTTGTTTTGGTAGCAGTTGCGATAATTCTGCTCATACATGCCTAGAGGTGGAGGAAGGGCCGCACTGGGTCGTGAATTTGCATTGTAATAGGAGTGCGGCGGTGTGGGATCACCTTCTTCATATCCTCCACCGCTACTAAATCGTGCCATTCCAGAGTCTGGACCGTAGGGGGAATTCGAGGGTTGATGCTGCTGTTGTTGGAAGGATCGACTTCCCGTCGACACAGAGAGATCTAACTGTCCACCTGATCCTGCTCCGCCACCGCCGGCGTAAGAATGGATGTTTGAGCCTGAAACACGATAGTCGATTCACAATTTAAACAGCGATAAGTAGACGCTCACCGAATTCACCTCACGGTCGACCGTATTTGAGAGACTAGTAACTAATCCCCCGGTGTCAAATATTTGTTTTGTCAGCGCGGATGTTGGCACACTTAAACCATACCAACTATTTAAATTTCAAGGCTCCTAAAGTAAATTGACTAATTTTTTTGGTTCAAGACTTTGTAAACAGTCTAGAGTTAACTCAAACACTATGGCCACATGTGGACCTACCACAACCAGTGTACGGAATAACCTTAGAGTGAGAATACGAGGTTAGGTCGCCCGGGTTGCGTACTTTTCTATCCTTCTCGGTGGCTGTCCACGCATTTGCACACTGAATTCGTATGATTTGTTGATGAAAAGGTACAGACACTATTCTAAGGCCAAACTACAACACAATACAGGGAGTACGTTTACACAGGTTTTCGTGCACAGGCTTCTCCCAGCCTTATTTCAACACCAACAAAACAGCTCTTCAGTTGTGCTAAATGCAAAACGATTCAGTAGATATTTCATTACTACACATCTTCAAGGGGATTAACAGAATTGAAGATAAACCACCACCACCACACCTCGGTAGTTACTAAGCTACTCCAAAGGTAGTTGTTAATTATTTTGAAAGTGACACATGATTCGTACTAATTTTCACCCCTTTATGTTTGGATAATCCAGTCTTTAGCTCTATTCACGCATCCGACAATCCCAGTAAAGTCAGTCCTCTTTCGTGCTAGTTTTGTGGAGGAGGAGGCAAGAGAGGGGATGGTGGTGATAGGACGAGGAAGAGGAAGAGAAGGGAAAGGGGGAGGAGGGAGGAGCGACAAATGGACGGACGAAGGAACGAACGAACGAACGTATACACAGCACAGCACGAGGGAGGCAAGCAAGAGCTGTGTGGCTGCCGCTATTTTTAACCCATGGCTGGTTGGCTGGCTGCCTTTGTGGTATGAGCATACGCCTGAAACGTTGCATGGTATTCAATAATTGTGCATCCTTCGATGCGAAAAAGAAAGAGCTGCACAATCGCCTTTAATGAATGTTGTATTTCTGTTGGTAGCCTGTATCAAATTAGATTCTGTAGGTGACCGCATACCCATGAAATGAAGAAGAATGGGGTATAATTTGCAAAACAACTGCTTCATATACAAGGGAACCCTCGGAGCTAAATTAGTTTTGGCAAAAATATTGTACCTGGTGCCAAAAATAGAATTCAGCAGTCGACTGTGTTTTAAGTTTCGAGAGTTCTGTGGATGGGGTCTTGCCAAAAAAAAATCGGCACTGCGTTGACAAAGCAAAGACAACCTACAACGCCCAGATCTGTGACCTTCTACGTCATTAACATAAACATTGAATCAGTGGGCCATAACATTGATGAACGAACTACCAAGTCAAATCTCAGTCAAGTCTTGCAATTCATAAGCAAAACTGGTGGGCTACACTAGCGAACAGCATGTGGCATTGAAAATCCATTTATTGAAGAGACGAAAACTGTAACCAGCCCTAGGAGAGCATTTCAGTTATGTGGCCCCTCGAGATGGATTAAGCACATGCAGTAATTTTAAGTCTACTGAAACATATCTGAGGCCATGTTGCGCACTTTTTGTATCCCGTTGGACATTGAATGAAATAATGTAATTACCCTATCCCAATCAAAGCAATAGAGCATGTCCATGCTTGGAAACTATTGTGTTGTTGAGGTTGTCTCCTCGTTTTCTCCAGACAATAATAGACTCGTTTGAAAGAGCAGATTAGATTAGCCGCCACTCCCACCACTTTTGCTACTGTTTGCCACACAACTATTTGTCAGCCCGGGCCGACAGTGACGACGACAAGACGACGATGGAGACGGCAACGCTTCATCTCCTCTCGAGACCGCGTATGAATGATTTACCGTCCTGCCTCGCCCCTCTTTCTTCACCTCCCTCTCAATCTCGGTGCGGACAAACAAACCGCACGCACATACGCACGTCGACGTTAGATGGCTGCTTGGCCTGCCGGACAATCCACAGCTCACCTGTCCGTCTATCCTATGCACGCATGCATGGGTGCATGCGTGCATAGGATAGACAGACGACAAATGGATGAGTACACAGACATGCAACCGGAAGTAGGCTACGTGCATTGTGGGTGTGCACGCCATCGCGTCCGCACATAAATGTTGTGCACGCGTCACCACACGCACGATGTGGAGCTGACGCATACACGCACTCACGCACGCACCCACCCACCCACTCACCCAAACACCCACACACAAGAAAGGGGACGGGGGCGGTGCAGAGGCGGGGTGGACGCCGTTACAAAACACGTGACACGCGCACACCATCCGTGCCCAAGCACACATTTCCCCTCGCTGTGTGCATATGCGCCCCACCTTACCGGATTTTTTGCTTCCGCGGCTTTATGCCTGCTTGGGTGTGCTTGAATGGGTGTTTGCATGCACGCGCTGTTCACTAAGTCGGAAATCATCGACCACAGATGCAAGTTTGCACCGTTGATTAACCAGTCCCCAGGGTAGCTGGTGAAACGACAACTAACTACTCTGACGCATAAGCTTAATTTAAAACGCCTCTTGATAAAATTATTCTCAAACTTCATATCGGTTAGTCGAATTGTTTAAAATGAAGTGTAGTCATTCATTATGACTACAGCAACTACCTATATTGAATGAGGAGTCTGGATACCGTTACAGAGGGTGTTATTTCATCCTGTGTTTTGAAACCTAACTATCGCCCAAAAGCCATCACAACTCTCTCATGAATTCAATGTACCGTTAGTACATTAAGCACAGTACGAATTAAATGGCCTTCGAACTTACCACTACCGCTGCCTTGGGGGTAAGCAGCGTTGAAGGCGCCATCGGCAAGGAGCTGGCGGGTGTTAGCCGCATGGGCCTGCAGCTGCTGGTAGTAATCTCCATTGGTGCCGTAAGCGGAGACTGAGGTGGCGGTGGTACAGCGAGTAAAAAGACTACTGCCGCTGCCTCCGTCGGCCTCTCCGTAGGAGCTTTGTCGATGCGTTAGGGCCGCGGCATACATTGGAGAGTCGTTAGGGGTCTGGAATTAATAGAGGATGGATAGTCATCTCTCATACCGCCATCGATGCCGTGTATTTTAGCCAACGTAGGAGGTATCGAGGATTCCACATGGATGTAATTGACACAAATTTAAGATCCACTTTAGGAAGCCCCGAGTCTCAAAGGGTATAATAAGACCCAACATCGTTTGAACAGAGCAGATTAGTGACCAGGGGTAGAGTACCTCAATGTTTCAAAAGGACACCCATTATTTCCTGAATTAGTGTCTGAGTGATATTTACAAATAAATTAAATAACTGAACATCCTGTTACTTGGTCTAAGTGATGTCGGCAACTAAAAATCTGCTGTCTCCACAAACGCCCGACCATGAACCTGATGACTTGAAATGGGAACATAAACGGGCTGTTCCGGATCTCAGAAAAAAATTGAAAAGACAGTGGAAGAAGGAGGAAACACTTAACAGACGTCCAATGCTATTCGAATGCACAAAAACGGTAGCAAATTTAAAAGAGCTCTGACAACCAGTCGAGAAGTTGAGCGCTACCATCAGAGAAAAAATAACCGAGGCAAAGCAAAAATCGCCAACTTCCACTTCGCTGGTTTTTTTAGAATTTGTGTCTCGCATGAGTACTCCGAACAAGAAATGGGAGAAGCTCTCTCCCTCTAGGGTGGCAAAAACGTAAAAGGAGTAAGGGAACAGTAAATAGCAACAACATTCCAAGGAGAAAAAGAGAAGACGTGATAAAAATCACACATCAAGCACAAAGCACGTGCTTCTCAATCAAAACACAACACCCCTGTCACTCTCGAATAAAAGCGTGATGCCAGGGTGGTGACCACTGTGGATTTATGGAGGAGTGAGAAAGTGAGCGTGTGCGTGAGTGGAATGATGCGAACGATGGTGACTCGCGCGAATGCCAGTTGACGAAAAATAATGGTACTCCGTTTGTGATGTCGACGCAAGCAAAATCTGACAGCCAGTCAATCAATCAACCACCAGGTTGAGGAAAGGGGAAGAATGATGAGCAGCTGAAGGGAGAGAATGCATCCACGATTAGGATGATCCTCGTGGGAGAGAGAAATGAGAAAAGGGAAATTTACGGGATGGGAGTGGAGATGGAGGGTGCGCACCTGCGCGCTTAAGAGGAAATTGACAAGCAGTCAGTGGTCTTGTGCGTTCGAGCGTGTACGATAGAATGAATGACAGTGATGACTTCGAAAGGAAAGCAGCGCAGACCACGCAGACAACTACCTTACCGCATAAACTCTACTTTTACACTCAATTCTTCAAAGTCAATGCTTTTTTAGTTGAATCACGGTAGAATTTCTCAACGAAGGAGTTAGATACCCCAACTTATTATTTCGTAAATTCAGGAGCATCAACTTTGGACCGATTTGGTCAAGCTGACGAGATCAAGTTTATTAAGAGTGGAATGTGTAAGCATATTTACTTTGCCCTTCCTAAAGCACCAAAGCTCTGTGAGGGAGAAATCATGCGCCTACAACAGCTGTGCAAGGGTTTGTGTCCATGTGATAACGTGAACATTTTGTAAGGAAGAAAATGGAGGAGAGGGAGGGGAGAGATGTGATGGATGGGAAGGCAGCAGTGCTGTTGCTGGTGGATGTGATGACTGACACAGAGTGAGACAAGCGTGTCTCCGAGCTGTCACTCGCGGAAGGGAATCACACGCCCCATACTATCTGGCTGCACCTTCAACGTGCACATAGACACCAGCAGCAATAGTAGACGTCGATCATGAGAGCACACGCACGCGTATGGAATAGCATTCACAGCACAAGGATGAGTGAGGGAAGGGAAAGAGGAGGGCGAGATAGGGGAGTGGAAGAACCTCGATGCCACGGTGGCAATGACGTCACCTAACGGTCTTGATTACCAGATAATTGCTAGGGTCATTGGATCGTTTGTACCGCTCCTTTCTTTCGTGGCCTATCTGGCTGCGCATAACGCAGCAAAACTTTCCCAAATTATCCTAATAACAATGCTCCTCATTTTAAAAACTCCTTCTTCCTTCAATAATGTGTAAAAGACGTGCCATGTTGCAAGCTATTTCGGGTAAACACCTTACTCTAAAAACAGCATAACATTTAATTGTCCTGCATTTTCTCTACAAAATGCCAACGCTTGAGGATGAAGATATAATATAAGTGTTCATAGGACAGAAATCGGACAGCACCAATATTGACGCAATTACTGTACGAAAAAGTTCATTCCGAAGTATGAATTAGACGAAGAATCCATCCATCAATAGGGAATAAAAATGTTTTGCTTGAGCTTTCTACGAAATCAATTTTAGGCACTTTGTTCGAGAAAGACTCGAAAGAGACTCTGATAAGACGACATTTGGTCACGAAATAAACACAAGAACCAAAATGTGGGTTATCGAAGTAAGCAAATTGGAAGCTAATCTTCCTATTTATAGCCTGCTGGATCCACTAACCAACTGCATCCCAAATGGAAAGGATTCGAGGTAAAAAAGTAACCTTGATCAAATTCGCCAAACGATGGCAGTGCATAAATCGCATAAGGGTGGAGAAGCCTTTTTCGCAGGAAAAAAATGCCAACCCCATTCACGCATGCACACCCCGATGATGATGGACACTAGCGTGCCGCGCGTGTCCATCACTTCAATCCATTGGAAAATCGATTGTCCATGACACTGCGTACGCACACGCGCGCACACGGATGCGCAAAAGGCTGATGAGCGGATGGATGAGAGGGAGAAACAGACAGGCGGATTAAGAATAAGTGAAAGAAACCTCATTGTCGCCTCTCTTCCAGCCAAAGGTTGTGTGCGTGTGTATACGCATGGGCCACCCAAGTAGAGCAGAATGTAATACGCACCCACGCGCGCAAGCAAAGCGAACGTGTGCCCCTTCACGCACGCGCACACGCGGACGGTGGGCGTGCGAACGTATGTGCACGTTAGCCGCGTCTGGGTGGTTGGATGGGTAGGTGGGTGGTCGTAGGGCGGTGAGAGAAGGGGGAAGGGAAGTGGTGACGAGAGAGCGCAAGGGAGAGGGGAGGGGGAGAGGAGGGTGAGTGGGAGAGAAATAGTGGGCGAGCGACGACTACGAGAGGAAAACGTCAATACTGAGCCCTGATTGGTTCAGTTCAGGACTTGTCGGGCGCGAACAAGAGAGTTGAAGAGAAAAAATCAAGGACGATCGTAGCAATGAAGGTGGAAATGATTTTGCTGATGAGGTAAGGTTGATTGGATCACTCACTAATATAGATACACACTAATTTTACTCCATGTACACCTAATCTATTCGCCTGTCCATATTTGGACACTGCAAGAGTAGCTGACAAGAGCGGGTCGTTTGGGAGTGACCTTCGTGATAATCACGATCTTTGTCTCCAGTGGGAGAGAAGTTCTCCTCCAAGCAAATATTGAGGTGGCCTATGAAAGATGCATTTTAACCTACTAATAAAATGTCTTCTTTTGTGGGTGAATAGTCGTTCCATGCCAGACTGATGGGCTGGAACTTTATACGTCCTATGTGCATTCAATCCCAGTAAGCCAGAGGAGTAGGAGGTAATTACTCTGAGCAATAGGAGTGAGAGAATGCCATAGAGATCGATTAAATCAATAGAACATACCACACTCCTATTATCAGACCACATCCCACTACGACTCCTTTGAAGCAAAAGCAGTAGTGACAGAGGCCAAAGCATCAGCAGTAGAAGGTAGTGGCGCCGAGTCTTGAAAAAATATCAGGCAATCAGGCAGACAGGCAGCAGGCAGGCATGTGACTCAGCACGACAACGTCGTCTCCACACATTCTCGCCTCCCGTCTCCTAATCTCCACAACCGCGTCCATCCCATCTCTGTCTTAAACCCCTCAAGGCCCGAAAAATCCCCATTTTTGAAGCTGCACATGTACCACTGGAAAAAAATTCACACTGTAGTAATCAAGCTATCTACATAGACAGACAATAAAACAACTTTTTTCTCTCCAAATAGATCATGACAGCCAAGTGCTCAAGAAAAGAAACTTCAATTCAAATGTTTTCTGATTCGAGAAGCGCAAAATGGAAAGAAAAATAAGACAGCGAGAGACGGAGGGTAACATGGAAACATGATCAATAAACTTAACGTGGAATAGTTGGAAATGCAGTGTACATTTACTAGCAGCATTCCAAATTATAAGAACTTGACATGGTGATCAGGAGAAGTCATGGTGACTAGAAGCAGGCTCAGTGATGCAGTAGTCAATCAGGTTTGGAACCCAGGTAATTTTAAAATTAGGCCAAAATGAAGCTACGTTTCAAATGTTTGGGAGAACTGAATAAGAGATATACGAAAGTAGTTCGTTAAGATGTGAGCCAACAGTGCGTGGAGAAACCGTCTTGAATGCTCCAAAACATCACAACACTTCCCTCCCCCTCCCAATGATGAGTAAATGTATTTAAAATTATAAATATACAGGTCATGATCACAGTATAATAAGCTCTACCCAACCGACCGTAACGGAATCAGGATTTTAACAAGGTTAGCTTAATTTGTAGGAATGATGTGGAGAAAGCAGAAAATTCATTTCAATCATTCCATCAAATTCACAGACTGATGAATCACTTCTCAACTTTATGCTTGAGTATGTTGTGTCCCTTGAGGCAGGAGAGGAATCAGAACTAGCCAAGCAGAGTTAATTGATATGGCGAGAACAGTAAAGCTTCGTCAATGGTCGTAGAGACGATGACTAGTAATCTCTTACCTCTCCGATACCGTACGGGAAAAGAAATAATCACGACGAAGATGCGTCTCAACGCCACATTTTTCGATTTTTCAGCTCGAATAAGGGAGCAAGCTGTTTTTCAGCGGCTAAACGCTCAATCAGACAGCAGGCACGCAGACAGTCAATGAGAGGGAACAAAGAGGGTCTAGTGAGCGGCAGAATGGATCGCCTACCCACACGCAAGTAGAAGAGGGGTGGTGCGCTGCGCAAGCACGCAGCAACATCAGTAGCAGAGCGTGTGTGCGTGTGGATGCGAGATTGCGCGACAGTGATTGCATTGCAGCGGGTGTGGAGAACGGCAGCGCAGTGGCGGAGTGGTAGAGGGACGACTGTTGCTGATACCACTTTGCC